GTAGTAGTAGTAGTAGTAGTAGTAGTAGTAGTAGTAGTAGTAGTAATAGTAGTAGTAGTTGTTGTTGTTGTCGTTGTCGTTGTTGTTGTTGTTGTTGTTGTAGTTGTAGTTGTAGTTGTAGTTGTAGTAGATGGTGAGAATGATGATGATGATGCTGATGCTGATGCTGATGATCATAATGTTGATGCTCCTGATTACGATGATTTTGGTAAGTACGGTGATAATGATGTTGATGTTGCTGCTTGTTCATGCAGGGAAGATGATAGCTATGATGATAACACTGACAATGTTGCTCCCTGCTGCTGTTGTTTTCCTGTTACTTGTCAGACGCCCCCATCAGAAAAGTCACGCTTTCGGGGGCTTTCCAAGCAAAACCTTCAAAATGAACGCAAAACTGAAGCAAAACACACGATGACCACGGTGTTTGCGACAATATCGCAAAAGCCACACCAAAATGAAAAAACACGAAAAGCATGAACAACAACGTGCAAATTATCCTCTTATTCACGAAAACCACACACAACTCGAGGCTTACAGGCTCTTGACCAACAAAACCTCAAAACAAAAAACACACCCTCCGCGGCGCCAGACACAACAACTACTTTGTTTTTGTTGGCTGTTGTTGTTGTTGTCGTCATTGTTTTTTGTTTGTCTTTTTGTTTGATTGTTCGTTTTGTTTGTTTGTTGGTTTTTGTATTTGTGTGGTGTTTGATTGTTGTCTGATGTTTGATTGTTGGTGCTGGTGCTGTTGCTGCAGTTGCTGCGCTGGTTGAAGGTGTGTTGAGCTGGCGGGACCACGTGGTGCCCTGTTGTGTTGGTGTTGCTTGTCTCGCCATGTTCCGGTTCATGTGTAACAAAATTCAATGTTGCGCGGGCATGAGCCCAAAAGGCTTCGCTTCGTATGAGCACGGGACGGCTCAAGGAAAGGTGTCCAAACTGTTGTTGTCAGATCTCTTCCTCGAAAGAATCCCTTAGCAGTTCAGGTTACGGTTAGGGATATGGGATTGCATGGCCAGCCTTAACACCCATCATGGCACTAAGCCACAAACTGAGCTAATGTGTGACTTCACTGACCTCAACTAGCTGTGAAGACCATGTTGCAAGGGCAAAGCCCGGCAGCTCAAATCCGACACTAAAGCCCCGGAGTAATCCCAAACAGCACAACTCCGAATGCCCAAACTGTCCAAGTCCAAATGAAAGGCACAACGTTTAATCCATTCACGTTTGCCTGTGGAGGATCGTGCAGAAGTGCCCCTGGACCCAGAGCGCTTCGCCAGCACCGAGGCGGATTGTGTTCCACTTGTAGTAGTAGTATGACGGAGGCTGAATTATGAGAAAACTAGGGGTTTCTGCGAAAGGAAGTTTCCGGATAACTTTACCGGGGAGACCAAAAGATGAATAATCTGTGTTTGTTGCTTGAATGCTTGAATGGTATGCTGAATTGCCGGAACTGCAAAAGGAACAAAAAACACTCCAGCCGCTAAAAGCACTGCAGCCGCTGGCTGAGTGTCAGGCGATTCCCAGGCGAGACGGCGTCACCGAATCAAACTGCCAACTTCATATGATCGTTGTGAGATGTTTATAGTTTATACAACCATATGCCATGTGGCAATTGTCCAAGTGTGCATATGTAGACAGGAACGGGCCCCATTGACAATGGGCTGAGAGGAGTTACAAGATATTGATATTTTGGCCTTACATCCCGGAAACCACTCTTTGTGTAGGCTTCGTGTCTCATAGGTTGGCGGGCTATGCGAAGCTGAAATCCTGACCCCTCAAGCAGCAAGTGAAGCTTTTCAGCTCACCGGCTCCCCACTTTCGACAGGAAATCAGAGAGATCACGGAGGACATGTGTTGAAGTTAACGTCCTTTTTGCACCGGCCTTTATACGTTTCGGAACCTTCAGTGTTGCAGATCTTTTCATGGTTGGAGTCTTTCGGAACAAGGATCGCCATCGGAATATATGGGGGTGTCAGCAGATCTGTTTAACCTCTCACCGAAACGAAGCAGAGTCTAGCAGCTTGCGATTGGATTGCAGTACTCAGTCGGGTTGTAACTTCAGTTGAAAGGTTCAATTTCAATCAGCTGCCGGAGTGGCATGCTACACAGTCATCTCCGAAGGCCACGGCTTCTTGCCGCAACTTGCTGACCTATTGGGTCATTCGTTTGATGTTCGGGATCGTCGATCTGGGCCATGTGCTACCGGATGCTGCCGCAACAGACCTTCTCCAGGAGATGTGGCCGAAAACATCGAGCCTTCCTGCTCGGAGTCCACAATAAGAGCCCACGTTTGAGGATCCTTCGCAGCCAACATCTCCTTCTTGACAGGCACCAAACTCGCAAAAATTCTTGGCAGCACTGCCATTCAGAAATTCAGATCAACTCCGTGACAGACTTGACTTCGAACTTTCAAGGCTCATGCCTCTCTAGACCACGACAGTACCCTTTGTCCAGCATGCTCGGCTTGGAATCATTGAACATTGTTTCATGCTCGAAAAGAAGGATCGGAGCATGGCAACAGCACACAACGGAGCCCACATGCACCTGACAATGATGCCATCGATTTGAGATGATGCCATCTCGAGCCGCATTCTCTGAAGCTGGTTGAAGAGCTGTGGCAGGAGGAGGCCATGGCTGCATCTGCCAAAGTAATGCTGCAGGCCTCTCGGGGTTTGGCATCTTCTCAGGACATGTTTTGTGTGTGCGAGTAAATGTGTGTGTGTGTGTGTGTGGGTTTGAAGGCTGGGGCATCTGTCTGGTATTTGGACAGTCGGCACACACCAGAGTTTGCAAAGCTTGGATGTACAAGGCAATGCTACCCACAATCCACCGGTGACTCCGAGTTTCATGACGATTTCTTGACGGCCTGAGCCCTGACCCACAAGGTACGGTGGGAGGTATACGCTGCCAGATACTGCTGAAATAACATTCGCGGAGTTTGTGGTAGTCAGCTATAGCCAGAGCTGAGTTTGTGGTAGTCAGCTCTGGCTTTTTGTGCTGCAGCCATTCAATGTATGCAACTGTAAGTTATCCCTCCCACCCTCCAAGCTGTCATCTTTGTATTGAAACTGACCTGACGTCACATGCCCGAGACCCGAAACCCCAGGAAGCACAAACCTTACGCCTCACGACTTCATCAATCACTCCCCCCGAATCCCGAATGCGCAAACAAGCCATCCCCCAGCCAGGTCGTCCGGTGGTTTGACGACCCCAGCCTCGAAGCGGAGCTTGGTCTCCACCTGTAGAAAGCTTCAATCGGCAGCCCGGCTCCCTTTCAGGTTGAAATTAGGCTTTGGAAGGACATTCGAAAGGAAGGATGGAGCATACAAGGGTATGTCAGAACTCGAAATGTCCTCTTCCCAACACCTATGGACGTCCGTTGTGGACGGCGCATGCTGCCAGACCTCCATGCATTATATGCAACGACATCCAGTGACCATTGTCTCGACATGAAGAGTCCAGGATTCCAGCATTCTCCTGAGAAGTTGGCCAACTTCACACATTCCCGTTACGCAGAACCTGGTAGTCTCTTGTTGAGTGTTTTTGAGTCGGCATGGCTCCTCAATCCCTGCGACACCCGATCGGATATCCAAATTGCCTTAGTTCGTAAACCCTGAATGTGCAAAGTGTGAGCGCTTCGAAGACACTGTGTTTGCGAATGGCTGTTGGTGCGGACAAGCGGAGCATGCCAAACGGAACGCAAAAAGCCGAAAAGCGAAAAGTCGAAAAGAGGCATTTGATAAAGAACTTTGTGCGAAAAGCCAGAAAACCCGAAAAGGCGAAACGTCGAAAAGTCAAGAAACAACAGCGAAAAGTCGAGAAGCACAGCAAACAACAAAAAGTCGAATAGCCACGAAGAGGCGAAAGGTGCAGCAAGACGCGAACATCGAATCGTACAGCCAAAAGTTAATTTCAAAAGTCGAAAAGTCAAAACCGCTAAAAGTCGAAAAGAACAGCGGAAGGCTACACGTCGACAAGTCAAAAAGTCGAAATATCGAAAGCGATCGAACACGTCAAAAATCCATAACCACCGAAGAAGGGGAAATCTCAACAAGTCTAATCAAACATCACCGAGACAAGCAGTTCCGGGGAGTTCGCCTAACCCCAAACCGAGGTCGGCCAAAAGCATTTATGTTTTGGATACTCATTTTCTTTGGATGATCCCGACATTGCTTCAAACTCAGCCAGGCTTGACACTTGGTGGTTCCCAGGCCCGGAACATAGGTCCGATTTGGTGCTGTCGGAAACATGAGATGCTCCAAAATCGATACAAGTTGCTGTTAAGGGTTCCTGAAACCAGAAGGTTTCGTTTGTTTCAGGTGTTCCGAGGATGCCCAGAATCATCAACAATCAGATGAAATTTCGCGTGCGCAAGATTCTTGGCTGGCTCCTTATACCCGCAAAACAAATCGAAATGCCTTTTTCTTGCTCACTCTTTGGTGCTTTCGGGCACACGAAGTGATGCAAAGTCATTGATACTTGAAAAATGCACCCAAATACGGATGGCTCCATTCGTTTTTGGTTGAGAATACCAAATCACTGAAATTTGCGAGTCTGCGGTTCTCAAGCCTGTTGAAAATCAGACGAATCCCCAAACCGAGCCATAGAGAACTGCGCATGTTTCTGCGCCTTCTGGATGCTTTGAAAAAACCAAGATGAAAAACGCAGTTGGGCGGCTGCTAAGACCCGAAACACACCAAAATTCCATTTGTTTCAGCTACTTTTTCTTGTTTGTTGGAAAACTCAAAATCGTCAAATAGCACTGAAAGAGCACACTTGAAGAGTTCGCCTAATCCGAAAACTCAGCAAAACCATCCATGTTTTGGCTACTTGTTGGTGGCTTGGGCGGAACCCGAAATGGTTTGATATTCAGCAAAGTTTGCCATTAAGTTCGATTCTGCTGAAAGTTACTGCCACAACGAGTGACAGTACAACTACGACCACTGCCGACTGCTACTCGTTCTACTGCCTCAGGCCTAGCCGGTAGCCCTCGGCCCACCTGCATTTTCACATACTTTTTCCACAACCAGCCCTGGCTTACTGAAGCCCTATCATTCCCAACATCTTGGCCTACCTACCCCCGGTCTTGCCCTGGGGTTGCCGCTGGCCTAGGGTACAGATTTGTGCGAAACCTGAAAATTACGACGAAACCCGACAAATACCGAACGTTCGAAAAGCTCAGAGAATGTGAAAAGCCGAAACAACACAGAAAAGTGCGAAAACGCAGAAAACCTTCGAAAAGCAGAAAAGCCAGCGCAGACAAACGAGAAAAGTCGAAAAGCCCGAAAAGCACTAACAAATGCGAAAAGCACAGGAACACGCGAGAAGTCGACAAGTTGAAAAGTCAGACTTCGGTTCTCCGCTTATCGAAACCAAAGCCTGCTTGCATACTTAGCGAAGACACGGACATCCCCAAAACCATCAGGAAGAATTGTTCCAAGGTTCATTCTCACGGCCCCTGCCTGGGGGCCGGTCATGGCGTGCATTGCAGCAGCTGCTCATGCGGGCTTCGGATTCAAGCTATAGACTGCGAATGCCGCAACTGCTTTGGAATTTCGGCCTTTGGAGTTGGTGAAGAGCATGAGTGCCGGAAACGCATTGATTCCTTCGCATGCATGGTTTTGCAATCATCAAGGTTGTGTTGTTTTTTGAAGCGGCCTTACGTACCTGCCACTCAGCATGGATTAAAACAGTGGTGCGAGAGCCCCACACACACACACCCATACACCACCCCGCAACCACACCCATATACGTCCACAGCCACCCACAGCCACCCACAGCCACCCCCAGCCACCCACACTCACCGTAACAACCCATACCCACCCCACCCACCCATACCCATTCATGCACATCAAAATCCACACACGCCGTCGTAACACCAACACGGCAGGCAGGAGGCACAAGCAGGCACAGGCAGACGGTCGCCAACGAGTAGATCTTCAGCTTTGTTGTTGCGGGACTGAAGTTGCCAGCCCGCGGAGCTCGCCTGCTTGGTGCACGATTCCATGGCATTGGCCAACGAAGCCCGCTGGTACCCAAATCATTGGCACAGATACATACAGTCATAGTCACGTTCAAACGCAAGAGCGCGTTCCTTTCGATAATTTCAGTTGTTTAAGGTTTCATTCTTGCAGCTTCTCGGCTGCAGCATTTATTGCTTGAGATGTTGGTTCATACAATATGGGGCAGATGGGCTTTTGTCCGGGTTGTTAAGTTGTTGGTGCTGTCAGTGTCATATGTGCTTGGCCTTGGCTGGCATTCTTCGACTCTCTTTGCAGCTGATTCTTTATGCTTAAGTCAGAGCCGACAAGAGTACCTATTTCAGCTTGGAGCCGGAAGCCCAACATCCCAAAACCTCTGTGCCGCGCGGATTTGAGACAGCGGGGGCCAGGATCCGGAGAGCTGGCAGTTGGGGTTTGGGGCGCTCAGACAAGAGAAGCCCGTAGCAAGAGTGCCAATCCGGAGCGATTGAAGTAAACCATGAACACGCAGACACGTTGTTCACCCAATGTTTGCTGTGCCACATGACTCACTCTATTCTACTGTTAAGCCTGGGGGGCTTGTCTTTCTGCATGCAGCGTGTGCGTTATAAGTAATAAGGACCCTGAAGACTTCTAGAATCAGTCAGAGCTCACAAACCCCGCTTGACCGGGCCCTCCAGTGTCCCAGCGCAAGATTGGCCTACGAAACATGCATGGCTCCCAGAAATTCGCAAACCGCCGCAGCATGCCTGAGAGGGGCTTCCGGAGAACAGCTTCCAGTAGTCGCTCCAGTTGAAGTTCCCCCGGTCGAAATCTTAGCCCCCAAAGTAATGCAGCAACTAACGCGAAACCAAAGTTTGCTGTGATCCAGCCGGCCGGGCTCGGCTGGAGTTACGGAAGTTTCGAGATGTGGGTCGGTGCATTGAATCTAGGGTTTGGATGCCTTGAGCCCGGCTCAGCTGGAAACCCCTGCAGGAAGCATCCTCTCCGACATGGAAAGCATTCCATTCCAGGTCTGTGGCGATTTTGAAGCTCAGAAGTTCTCTAAGAAGTTTTCCAAACAGAAGATGAAAGGATCCAACTTCGGTCTCCCAAAGCAAGCCGAAAGCTCAGGTCCTTAAATGCTCACTCGTCCTGCATTTCGGTTTGACATACAACACCAGCAAGCCCGAAACATTGAGACTTGAGCCATCATCCAACGCGGATTCCGCATCCTTCACACCATCTCTGATGCAAAATGAGAACTAAAGCTTCAAAATTGCTTCAAGGGTTCGTGGAGAGCCGGGCAAAGGGAGCCTCAGCGTCGGCGGCTGAGTATGGACATCGGGGCAGTGGTTGTCGGGCTTGGGGAGTCAGGGTTCTTTTTGCAGCGCAGATACCTTGGAACCAAGCGCAGCAGACTTGCTCATCTTCTTCGAGATCCCTTACTCCTACGTAGAGGTTGGAGGCAAGTTGGGTTCGAAGTTTCGTGCTTCCGCTTTGAAGGCTCGATTGCGCAACAACCATTGGTAGCTGCTGCACATCCCTCCTGAATTCTCCTTCCACGAAGCTTTCCAGAGTTCTTATACTTGTCCCAAAACTGATCGGCTTACTTGTCCTTGTCATTTGAACGCATGTTCAAACCTTATGAGGCCTTAGTTCTGTGCTGCCAACAAGGCGTCGTTGGGTGGAGCGGCTAGGCTTCATACCTTCCGCACTGCCTGTGAGAGCAGACATTTTGCAAGGAATTCGTCTTGGCATGGGAGCATCCTTTCGAGTGGGTCGAAGTGTCCTATCTTGATGTCTAAGGTCCGAAGCGCGGTCTGGAGACGGGACGTGAGCTTCTGTGTTTTAGAGTCTCCGGCTGTGACTGCCCTGGTGTTGCAAAGCTTTCAGTACTCGTGTAGTCTTGTTCGACCCTTTCTTGTGCTTGTGGTTCTTGTTGTTGTCAATATCTGCTGTGCCTGATTGGCAAGAGCGGGGTTCTTGAGACCTGCTTCCGCTGAGCTGCATGGGACATTTGTGTGCAACGGTTGCTTGTGTATGTGCAGCCTCCTAGCCCGAGAATGCCTGAGTTCGAGACCGAGGACTTGCAGTATCAGAGCCCCGAGCGATAGACAGAAGAGGACATAACGAACTGTAGGACCGGAAGACCGGCACCCCTTGCACTATGACGTTTAGTTTAGCTTCTTGCACGGATCTATCCTCTCAGACTCTGCCGTCTCTGTCAAGACACTTGTGCAAGCAGCTGCCCGTAAAGGATCTGTCTTTCACAGGACTTAGTT